TCAACCCAGCAGCTCGAAAACTTACATGAGTAGATAAATGGGGACTCTCACCCCGGTGGGAGGAAAAATGCTGGCAGCACCTTGCAAAGGAGACAGGAGCAGTTGCTGGTAACGCGGAAGCCGCGCACACCCGAAAAAGGCACGAAGCAATGGAAACCCCGCCTCCTGCGCTTGCCATCTGGGCTCTGCTCTGGGAAGGAGGCCATGGCAAACCAATTCCGAAACACCTTGCCTTGAAAACTGCAGGGACTCATCCAGGCAGTCGCCACAGAATCGGTAATGATTGAGTGTGGATAAAAAAAAAAAATTATTGATACATACCTTCTTTGGATCTTGAGCCAGATGGATGAAAGCGTCATCTTAACTGTTCTTGATGGTTTTTTCAGTCCTGCACAGCATCCAGTATTAGGGGTTCCTCACCCTGAACTCCCCACTTAAAGGAAGGAGGAGGAGGAGGAGGAGACCTTCTATTTTCACATGTGAAGAACATGCTCTCATTCTTGATTTTCTTACATACTTATACACCATGGCCCGTCTTTCACACAGGGAAGGGTACCCTTATCTTTCCTTCCAGGGACTTTATGAAAAATTCCCTCTCCTTGTGCTAGCATTGGACCTTTTGAAAATCTGCAGTACAGTTCCACACAGGATCTCAGTTTCCTGAAAAATGCAAACAAAGGGGTTAAAGGAAATATGACACTCCCCAGGGAGGTCCGGGAGATGGTTTTTTTAAAAGGCCAAGATGGTGGCCATGACCATGTGATCAAAGTCTCAACCCATTGTAACATGTGCTGCACCTAAAACAGGGAAGGGTTTGATCATAAGGTCATGTCTACTATTCTGACTTTTCTGACTACACTGCAGTCACCCCTGAACTTCCCGCTCCCTGTTCATGGTATTCCCATTTAGATCAGGCCACAGTGTGCTTACAATTGAGTAAAAAGCAAATGAATCAGAAACAGGAGCAGAGTAATGTGTAATTTGCATATCATCTAGTTTATCTTAGAGCAAATTTTGGAGCCCAGTATTTCCCCAAGTATAATGAAACAATAAAATATATAAATCAAATAATTGCTGACAAGGAAACTAGATCACTGTGGTGAAATGTCGATAAGCAAGGAAACATGTATTTATTTATAAAACATAAATATATGGAAATGAGCTTAATTTGCATATTATTCAGTTTGCAGAATTCAAATGTCCTAGAAGTAAAAATTTGATTGTTTACATGCAAACAGTCCTGTTTCTTCCCAAATTGCCCCAGATGATTATGCCCCATCATACAATCTTACAAGATTCATAAATTATTCAGAATTTGCTCAGAATACAGGGCAAAGCACAGTGCCCCAGAAACTCAGATTCATTCATATTCCGTACTAGTTTGGTTCATTATGATTCTCAGATATCTTTTTTATTTCCTATAATTAAGGACCAGCACTGCTGAACTAATAGCTTGCTTTTCGGGTGAAGATTCACGTCCAGACAAGGATTAGTATTGCTGATCTTGAGATTCTCATAATGTCGTATGCCAGGGCATCAGCAGGGGGGAATCAAAAAAGTCAAGATGGCAACTGCACAATTACACATATAAAAGGGGGGAGGGGCTTCAATCACGCAGTTATGGTTCCACCTGGATCTTTTTGACAATCCCTGTGGATGGCCCTATTAGTAAGCCTGTGTAAGATGGCTCTGTACTGCGGAAGCATCATGATTCTACTTTTCAGAGCAAAGAACTCCTTGGTGAGCTGCTTCATGTTGCCTCAAGTCTTAATCAGTGCTTCCAATAATCAAAAGAGGCTTCTGGTAACTGACCAGAATTGTCAGAAGACTTTTCTGGTTCCCAGAGTTGACAAAAGAAGCCTCAGAAAAGAGGAGAAACAACGCCACTTTGCTCTTAAAAGCAAGGAGGTCCCATTGCTTCAGAGTAACCTTCCTGGAAGTGCTTCATTTGAGCATTTGTTGAAAAGATGTCCACAGCCCCCTAAGACACTGCACAGAGGTTCTCTTGAGATCAGTCATCCTTGCATCTTGAGATTAGCTGCAGCTATGTGTGAAATGCTGGCTAACTGCCAACAGCCCTGAACAATTTCACACCTATAGCCCATTTCTCATTCACACATTTTCTGATTCTTCCCCCACAGTTTTTTATTAGATATTTTGGACAAAAGAAGCTAAATTATAATCTAAATTCAGTTTCTGGCTCAATTAATTTTTCCAATTTTCCCTTTGTTGATTATTAAGCCAACCTCAGAACAGTTTTCCTTCCTTGTTCCCATTCCACCAGAGATTTAATTCTTAGTGGGTACAATTCTGAGGAGAAAAGTACACTATTTATCTGTATCTGGTATTCAGAGATTATTGATTAAGTCTCCATAAGATTGACTCCTGCCCCAAATTTTATTTGTGAGAGCACTGGATTCCCCAAGATTCCATCAACTCTTTCCCCAGAAACTTGCTTCATTGTTTTCTGAATGATTTTTGGCCATAAAAATGTGTTCTCCATTCTATAAACTTTTTGGTCTTTTTGCTACAAACCCTTAAGTTGCAGCTGCGACCACATGGCCAGCTCACGTTTGCCATCAGGAACTACACCCAGTCCAGTTCCATCACAAGAGGTGATCGAACCAATGTTTTTAACCCATTTCCTTTTCTTTGGAGAATGGGAGTTAAGAAAAAAGGAGATCAGCCTTAATTACTTTATTTTCTTTTGTTTTAAGGAAGCGTATCAACAAATTTCTACAATGCAATTTGGTAAGGCTCCTAAAACTGAGGAAAGGGTCTGGTGGGCTGCAAACAGTGTGCCCACCCCAGCTCTACACTACAACAGTTCTGTTTTAGGTTCAGTCATCCTAACAGAAAATCCCCAGGATGATTTCATTTCATTCCCTTCCTGGGCCAGTCTACAACTTAAACAATCTAAACAAACTGGAAAAAGGAATAGATGGGTGTTACCGCAAGCATGGATTTATTCTTATGTCCTGCACTCTATTGTTATATTCATTCCAATCAAACAGCAAACCAAAAAAAAATGTACAAAAGTAAAA